AGCAGCAACAGCCTGGTTGATCAGGCTCTGATCCACCAGGAGGCCTGGTCTCAGACCGGGCCGCGGGGGCGTTGACCCCCGGAACTCTCTCCAGGTAAACTCCAGGTCTCCAGGTAATTTGATGGGTGTTGTATGGGAGAAAATTCTCTCCCACAATAACAGTCGTCATTTTAACAATAATCATTATCAGTTGGTAAATGAATGGAGAGATGAGAACTTGGATGATCTACAACCACTACCTTCCATCGATACTTCAACTCTTGAAGATACCCACCCGCTTACTAGATATTACATTACTCGAAATGAGTCAGGTTATTGGAAGAATGCGAAATAGAGCCCCTGGTCTCTCTGGAATAACAATGAAACAAATAAAGTTCCTACCCAGAAATTGTAAACAGTCTTTGGTTAATATCTTTAATGCCATCTTGGCCTCAGGACATTTTCCAGTGGTTTTTAAGACTGCTAGGATGATCTTTCTTGCTAAGCCCAATAAAGACATCCACCAACCTGGGAACTATAGACCTATATCTTTACTTGAAGTCACTGGAAAAGTTCTTGAGGTCATTTCCAACAGACTGAACTACTATATGGAGTTTAATCACTTTTTTACTGAAAAACAATTTGGCTTTAGAGCACATAGAGGTACCAATCATGCAATAAATGTTATTTTCGATACTGTAGCACGTCTAAAACATCAGGGCAATCTTGCCTTAATTGCCACCAGAGATGTTCATAAAGCTTTTGATAGCTTATGGCATGATGGCCTTATATACAAACTCATTGACCTACCAGACCATAACTGGACTTTTCTCAGAGTAATATATAATTTCTTAACTCAAAGAAAAATCATTCCCACCTTTCATGGCTGGTCGACAGAGCCTTTTATACCAACAGCTGGTGTCCCACAAGGTTCTTGTCTCAGTCCAATTCTATTCAACATTTATGTGAATGACCTTCCTCAACCAGAGTTTAATGATACAATTATAACGCAGTTTGCAGATAATGTTATCCATGTCATCTCATCAACTCCGGTAATAGGAAAATACAAGTATGAGAGAGTCATAGAAAAAATGAATATTGAACTTCGTCGAACATCTAATTGGGAAAATAAATGGATAATTACGACTAATCCTGACAAGGTCCTTGTTAGCACGATAGGATGTTTTGCATCAACCATCGAAGATAAAGGGGGTATCTCCATCAGAGGTACACCTGTAGCCATTAGAAACCCTAACAAGATCTTGGGATATGAAATAGACAGGCTGCTCCACTCAACATCACATGTAAATAAAAAGATCAACATAGCCAAAGCCGGTCTTAACAGTCTCTTTAGATTTAATCAAGCCCCTCAACATGTCAAAAACATCTGTATAAAATGATAAAAAGACCTATACTCGAATACCCATGTGTTCCAATGACATTAACAACAAAGACCAACATGCTACGGTTACAACGGGTCCAGAATAGAGCTCTTCGCTTTATTACGGGCACCAGGAGGAGAGACAGAGCTAAAATGGCAGATTTACATGTACAACAAGATATAACTGCCTTAAATATACGCCTTGACACCCTGAAAAAGAAACAACTCTATGCAATGCAAGAACTCTACATGCCAGATAGAGAACATCCTCTACAAGTTGAAAATACCACTGATTATATCATTAATACTCCTCCTCACAGGACTCAATGAATGACTCTCCCACAGAGGGTCCGTCGTTTTATCCATAAAGATGATTACCATCGACCAATGATATTGAGCAACCTCCCTGATGAAGATGATTGGGTAACACCAGAACCCTTCTATGTTTACTGAGAAAATCATCGCCCCCAATTAGGGAGACATCTTATATAACATTCTACTGTAAAAATTATGCTAAATTTACTATGGCGGGACACCACCTGTAAGAAGCCATTGTCAAGTAATTCTTTAAAAACTGGCCAGGAAATTATTACCTTCATTGTCGCTTAAATATCCGTTGTGCAATCGCAAAAAAAAAAAAAAAAAAAAAGGCAATTGCAACTTTTATAATTACTACCAATTCAGAGTCATGTACTTATATATCTGTTATATCTATGTGACTCTGATGGGTTAGTATTATACCTCTTCAAGAATATCTTATTATCTCACATACACTTTTTAAATTACACCAAAGTGGTTGGGCCATTTACCTTTTATATCCTACCTCTCTCCCCCCTCCCACCCTTTTCCAATATTTCTATCCTTACCCATCCTTCTTCCTTACCCATCTTACCAAAGCTCTGGTCATAAGAAGAAGAAGGTGACATCACACATCCTTGTCTAAAGCCTACTTTTACTGGGAAATAATCTCCCTCTCTCCTACATACTCTAACCTGAGCTTCACTATCCTCGTAAAATCTCTTCACTGCTTTCAGTAACTTACCTCCTGTTCCATACATTTGCAACATCTGCCACATTGCCCCCCTATCCACTCTGTCATACGCATTTTCCAAATCCATAAATGCCACAAAAACCTCTTTACCCTTATCTAAATACTGTTCTCTTATATGTTTCATTGTAAACACTTGGTCTGCACACCCCCTAACCTTCCTAAAGACTCCTCGTTCATCTGCTACCCTACTCTCTGTCTTATTTTTCAAAGGGTGTGGGAAGGAAGAAGAGCGACTGGTGGAATGATAATGTAAAGAGAGTAGTAAGAGAGAAAAATTTAGCATATGAGAGGTTTTTACAAAGTAGAAGTGATGCAAGGAGGGAAGAGTATATGGAGAGAAAAAGAGAGGTTAAGAGAGTGGTGAAACAATGTAAAAATGGAGCAAATGAGAGAGTGGATGAACCATACCACAGAGTGGATGAGAAGTTATCAACAAATTTTGTTGAAAATAAATTAAAGTTTTGGAGTGAGATTAATAAGCTAAGGAAGACTAGGGAATGAATGGATTTGAGTTAAAAATAGGAGAGGAGAGTTATTAAATGGAGAGTTAGAGGTATCGGGAAGATGGAGGGAATATTTTGAGTAATTGTTAAGAATTGTTAAATGTTGACGAAGATAGAGAAGCTGTGATTTCGTGTATAGGGCAAGGAGGAACAACATCTTGTAGGAGTGAGGAAGAGCCAGTTGTGAGTGTGGGGGAAGTTCGTGAGACAGTGGGTAGAATGAAAGGGGGTAAGGCAGTTGAGATTGATGGGATAAAGATAGAAATGTTAAAAGCAGGAGAGGATATAGTTTTGGGGTGGTTGGTGCTTTTATTTAATAAATGTATGGAAGAGGGTAGGGTACCTAGGGATTGGCAGAGAGCATGCATAGTTCCTTTGTATAAAGGCAAAAGGGACTAAAAAATAGTGAAAAAATTATAGGGGAATAAGTCTGGTGAGTATACCAGGTAAAGTGTATGGTAGAGTTATTATTGAAAGAATGAAGAATAGACGGAGAGCAGGATAACAGATGAACAAGGAGGCTTTAGGAATGTTAGGGGGTGTGTAGACCGAGTGTTTACAGTGAAACATATAGGAGAGCAGTATTTAGATAAGGCAAAAGAGGTTTTTGTGGCATTTAAGGACTTGGAAAATGCGTATGACAGGGTGGATAGGGAAGCAATGTGACAGATGTTGCAGGTGTCTGGAACAGGAGGTAGGTTACTGAAAACAGTGAAGAGTTTTTACGAGGATAGTGAGGCTCAGGTTAGAGTATGTAGGAAAGTGGGAGATTATTTCCCAGTAAAAGTAGGCCTTAGACAAGGATGTGTGATATCATCTTGGTTGTTCAATATATTTATAGATGGGTTGTAAGAGAAGTGAATGTCCGGGTGTTGGCAAGAGGTGTGCTGATGACACTACTTTTGGTAGATTCTGAAGAGAAGTTGCAGAGGTTGGTGGATGAGTTTGGTAGGGTATGAAAAAGAAGAAAATTAAAAGTGAATATAGGAAAGAGTAAGGTGATGAGGATAACATAAAGATTAGGAAACGAAAGATTGGAAATCAGATTGGAGGGAGAGAGTATGGAGGAGGTGAATATATTCAAATATTTACGAGTGGACGTGTCAGCAGATGGATCTATGAAGGATGAGGTGAATCATAGAATTTATGAGGGGAAAAACGTGAGTGGTGCACTGAGGAGTCTGTGGAGACAAAGAACTTGGTCCATGGAAGCAAAGAGGGGAATGTATGAGAGTATAGTTATACCAACACTCTTCTATGGGCGTGAAGCATGGGTGGTGAATGTTGCAACAAATATAAGGCCGGAGGCAAAGGAGATGTCTTGTCTGAGGGCAATATGTGGCGTGAATATAATGCAGAGAATCCGTATTTTGGAAATTAGGAGGAGGTGCGGGATTACCAAAACTATTATCCAGAGGACTGAGTAGGGGTTGTTCAGGTGGTTCGGACATGTAGAGAGTGTGAAACAAAATAGAATGACTTTGAGAGTGTATAAATCTGCAGTGGAGGGAAGGCGGGGTAGAGGTCGGCCTAGGAAAGGTTGGAGGGAGGGGGTAAAGGAGATTATGTGTGCGAGGGGTTTGGACTTCCAGCAAGCACGCGTGAGCGTGTTACATGAAAGCGAATGGAGACAAATGGCTTTTAATACTTGACGTGCTATTTGAGTGTGAGCAAAGTAACCATTATGAAGGGATTCAGGGAAACCGGCAGGCCGGACTTGAGTCCTGGAGATGGGAAGTACAGTGTCTGCACTCTGAAGGAGGGGTGTTAATGTTGCAGTTTTATAAATGTAGTATAAGCGCGCCTCCGGCAAGACAGTGATGGAGTGAATAATGGTGAAAATTTCTCTTTTTTGGGCCACCCTGCCTTGGTGGGAAACGGTCGATGTGTTAATAAAAAAAATATACAATAAGAAATTCATCAGTATTTTAGGTAGTAAAGTATTCTTGACTGGTGTTATCATGTTACAGGCAGTCTTAATGATCATTGTGTAATAGATAGTCTTTAAACTAACAATCCACCCAGTGTATTTTTCTCTAGCAAACCAAATAGTTGTTTCTAGGTAACATTTGAATTTAGCACTTACGTATAGCTTCCTGAAGACCTGTTGTTTGTCAGTGATGTAAAGAATACAGTCCCGACTGTATATTAAGTCGTAAGAGTCCTTCTCACGCTCAGCCTCCAAGATGTCACTCACCTCAAACTGAATCTGTCAGTAGTGATATGAAATTGTATCATCAGCAATATAAAACAACTGTCAGTAGGAATATTAAACTGAATCTATCTGCAGGAATACAAAACTGAACTGTCAGCAGGGATATAAAACTGAACTGTCAGCAGCAATATAAAGCCAAGTTTTGCAATGGGCAACGGAAAACAATATGATGTTCAATGAAGACAAATTCCAACTACTCCGTAGCCTGGCTGGCGAAGCTCTCGCTTCACATGCTTAGGGTGCGGGTTCGATTTCCGGCGAGGTGGAAACATTCAGCGCGTTTCCTTACACCTAATGTCCTGTTCAGCTAGCAAGTAGGTACCTGGGTGTTAGTCGACTGGTGTGGGTCGTATCCTGGGGGACAAGATTGAGGATCCCAGTGTAAATTAGACAGACAGTCCCTCGATGGCATACTGCCTTTCTTGGGTTATCTGTTAACTGGAGGAGAAAATAACTAGAACTGAGTATACTACAAACTTTGATCACACAATAGAACGGAAAGACCTGGGAGTGGTAATGTCTGAGGATCTCACTTTCAAGAATCACAACAGTGCCATAATCACATCTGCGAAGAAAATGAGAGGATGGATAATGAGAATATTCGAAACAAGAGATGCTAAGCCAATGATGGAATATTGCTGTGTATATTAACATCTCCATTCAACGCAGCTGAAACTGCAGATCTAGAGAATATAGAGAACCTTTACTACACATTTAAGTTCCGTCAAATACCTTAACTACTAATAAATTAGTCACATGTGCAACACTTGGGTTTCTTTAATGAAGAAACGTTTCGCCACACAGTGGCTTCATCAGTCTATAGAAAGAAGAATGGTGAAGAACAGGAGGAGTTTGAGGTAATCAGTCCCTCAGCCTTGAGTCGATGTAATCAGTCCAACAATCTTGAAAAGAATACCAAGGCTGAGGGACTGATTACCTCAAACTCCTCATGTTCTTCACCATTCTCCTTTGTGTGGACTGATGAAGCCACCGTGTGGCGAAACGTTTCCTCATTAAAGATACCCAAGTGTTCTACATGTGTAATTTATCAACTTGTCGGTTCTCTGAACCATATATCTACATATCTTAACTCCTGAGAACGCTTGGAAGCACCTGACTTGTACTCACTGGAGCACAGGCGAGAGAAATATATCATAATCTACACTTGGAAAATCCTAGAAGGAATGGTCCCGAATCTGCACACAGAAATCACTCCCTATGAAAGCAAAAGACTGGGCAGGCGGTGCAAAATGCCCCCAATTGAAAGTAGGGGCGCCATTAGTACACTAAGAGAAAACACAACAAGTGTCCGGATCCCAAGACTGTTCAACAGCCTCCCACCAGCCATAAGGGGAATTATCAGTAGCCCCCTGGTTGTCTTCAAGAGGGAGCTGGACAGATACCTAAAGTCAGTGCTGGATCAGCCGGGCTGTGGTTCGTACGATGGACTACGTGCGGCCAACAGTAACAGGCTAGTTGATCAGGCCCTGATCTACCGGGAGGCCTGGTCGTGGACCGGGCCGCCGGGGCGTTGACCCCCGGAATAACCTCCAGGTAGGTAGGAATACTGAACTGAATATGTCAACAGGAATATAAAGCTGAACTGTCAGCAGGAATAGAAAACTAAACTGTCAGCAGGGACATAAAACTGACTTTGTCAGCAGGAATATAAAACTGAACTGTCAGCAGGAATATAAAACTGAAGTGTCAGCAGGGATATAAAACTGACTTTGTCAGCAGGAATATAAAACTGAACTGTTTACCTGGAGTTTACCTGGAGAGAGTTCCGGGGGTCAACGCCCCCGGGGCCTGGTCTGTGACCAGGCCTCCTGGTGGATCAGAGCCTGATCAACCAGGCTGTTACTGCTGGCTGCACGCAAACCAACGTACGAGCCACAGCCCGGTTGGTCAGGAACCGACTTTAGGTGCTTGTCCAGTGCCAGCTTGAAGACTGCCAGGGGTCTGTTGGTAATCCCCCTTATGTATGCTGGGAGGCAGTTGAACAGTCTCGGGCCCCTGACACTTATTGTATGGTCTCTTAACGTGCTAGTGACACCCCTGCTTTTCATTGGGGGATGTTGCATCGTCTGCCAAGTCTTTTGCTTTCGTAGTGAGTGATTTTCGTGTGCAAGTTCGGTACTAGTCCCTCTAGGATTTTCCAGGTGTATATAATCATGTATCTCTCCCGCCTGCGTTCCAGGGAATAGAGGTTTAGGAACCTCAAGCGCTCCCAGTAATTGAGGTGTTTTATCTCCGTTATGCGCGCCGTGAAGGTTCTCTGTACATTTTGTTAGCAGGAATGTAAAACTGAACTGTCAGCAGGAATGTAAAACTGAACTGTCAGCAGGAATGTAAAACTGAACTGTCAGCA